GGGCCAGCCTGGCCCCTGTCCCCACCCCCAGGGTCACTCGCCTGGTCGTCCCCGCCCCGCCTGCCTCTGGTTGCAGAGATGTAGCTTCGTTTCAGGAGGGGACGATCACTCCTCGTCCAGGGCAGCTCAGGGCTGTGGGGTGTGGGCCCCCGGGAAGGTGGGGGGCACCCGGCTCACCTGGGGGTGCCTGCATGCTTCTGGGGATGCGCTCAGAGAAGCTGCAGGGAGAGGTTCAGCCCTGCCCTCGGGGGCTGGGGAATGTGTCGTGTGGACTCACCTATGCATGATGGCAGGGAGGACACAGCGGCCCCACCTGACCCCTGTAGCCCCTCCGGCTGGCGGCTCCCCTCCCGGGTTCTAGACGTCACCGCACCTTGTGCTCACAGCCTGGCCCCAGCCCTTCCCTCGAGAATGACGAGGCCGCCGCGATGCCTTTGTCACCTGCCCAGTGGACCGCCAGCGTGGAAGCTCTGGGTCTCTCTGGGCCGCGGCACCTGCACGTCATGTCAGGCGTTCTGTCCTTGGCAGCCGTGTTCCAGGCGGGATACGTGTCTGGGTTTAATATACGTTGGGCGCTGGCGGATGGCACGGAGCTCGTGCCACTGGTCACGGCCCCGCAGACCCTGAAGAGGGCAGGGCACGGCGTGCGGGGCGCAGAGGGGGCTGGGCAGCGTGGTGGGGCTTTCTCGTGGTTTCCACAGAGGAAGGGCAAGGGGGGCGAGGGGCCTGACAGTTGGTAACACGGACCCTGGCTCCGGTGTCCCCTCCTCTGTGATCTGGCGGCCGGCCTGGGCGGCAGGGCGCGTAGAGCACGTGGGGTGGGGTGGGGGCTCCAGACCCTTGGGCTGCTGTGGACACAGCGGGACTGGTCGTCGCGGCCCCCGGATGTCTGTCAGGACACAGGCCTCGGGGCGGCTCCTGCCCGCCACCTGCCCTGAGCCCCCGGCCCCTGGGGCTGGGGCCCGGCCTGGTTCCTTCGTGCTGGGGAGCCTTCTTGGGTGCCGCCGGTCTCCCCGTTCCTCCCCTGGCGTGCCCTTGGCCGGCTCCCAGCTCGTTCAAGGCTCGCGGTTTCCGTGGTCCCCTGCGTGCGTGCGACCCACCTGCCGGCTGCTTCCCATGACGTCCGTCCCGTGGGGGGCCGTGGCAGCTGCCCCGAAAGCGGGGCGCTTGGTAATTCACTGCGGCGAACTTTTCCCATCATTGTTCCTGCACTTATTGGCTCGTGATTCTTTACATCGAAGAAGGTTCACACGTCAGCTGATTGGTGATCCTCAAAAACGGTGCCCGCTTGGCTTTTGTCACCGATGTGCTTTCCGACTGAGGAATGGGCGCCCGGAGCCGCCGTCTGGCCCCTCCGTCCCGGGCGGTCCTGGGATTGTGGGCGCCCGCTGTGCCTGGATGCATCCCCCCTGCTCTGGGGCCTCCCCGCGGGCGCCTCCCGCCTCCAGGGACGAGGCCGCCCCCAGCCCGTGTCCCCGGATGGCGAGACGCCCCCCCCCCCACCTCCGCACACAGATGCGGCAATTGCTTCCGTCCACGGGAACTGGTTTTCCAGCTCGTCCTCCGGCGTCTCAGGACGCAGGGGTGAGGCTGTGTTTTAGAAGAATAACGGCGCATCCTGTGTTTGTGTTGCTCTTTCCGACCACTGAGTCCCTCCGCTCCTTTGATTCTCCCCTGCACGTCCCTTCTCCCCGAGGCTGGAAGTCCCCACGCCGGCGACGTCCTTTCCCTCTTTCATGTCTCTGCGCATCGAAGGCTCAGAGGGACGTTGCCCGCTCGACACGTGCGACAGGACACCACGTGCGGTTTCGGGTTCCTCGAGGCCTTTCTTTGTTTTGTCCGCGGCTGACGTCCCACTGGACATGCAGTCGCAGCACCGGACGCGGTCGCCGTTCCGATGCCGTCACCCTCCCGACGCTGTCACCCTTAGGGCTTATTTCATTTTGGTTTTGCGTTTTGAGCATCGCTGCTTGCCGTTTGTTTATTTATTCATTCAGATTTTTAAAGATTGATTAGAGGGAGAGAACGTGAACACGGGCAAGGTGACGGGCAGAGGGAGAAGCAGAGTCCGTGCTGACCAGGGAGCCCCATATGGGGCTTGATCCCAGGACCCCGAGATCATGACCTAAGCTGAAGGCAGACGCTTCAGCTGAGCCTCCCAGGTGTCCCCCAATTGAGTTTTTTGAACTGTGTAAAGTATTTGCATGGCTTGGTTCCTTGGTGGAGACCCTGAGGCCTGTGCGTGGAGGGAGGGCCCACGGGGTCGGGCATCGTGCTGCCGTGGGCGGTCCCCTCGGTCCCGGTACCAGGAGCCGACGTGCACGATGACCGCCTGCTGCCCAGAGCCACACCGGGCGCGGGGCCGTCTCGGGCCTGCCTGGGCCTGCGGAGTCGGCGCTAGGCTGACGGCCTCTCTGCGGCCGGACAGACGTGGCTCCTGTGCGGTCCCCCCCCGGCGGGCAGAGGCTCTGGGACCACAGGACCCTCATCCTACCCGGGGCCGGCTCGCAAGGGCCGGGTGAAGGGAATTCTGTGCGGACGGTTCAGGAGGAGCGGAAGCCGCGGTGGATGGTGGTCGGCGCCTCCTCCCCGCGCACGCTGTGGCTGATGTCGTGGGTCCAGGCCCCGCGGCTGCCCGTTCGGCCGGGCGGCGGGTCAGAGCTTGTCCGTGAGGCCCCGCGTGCGGCCTTCCTGCCCGGATCCTCCTGCAGCCCCTCGGGCCTCGCTGGCCGCTGTGTCCCCAGCGTGGACATGTGGGCGGAGGTCTCAGAAACCGCTGTCCCGTCGTCATTGCAGGGGCCTGGCTCCAGCTCCCGGGCTGCCCCTCAGGGGGCTTGAGGTTGGAGCACGGCCCAGTCGGTGCGGCACCTCCTCTGTCTCGCGAGCTGGCGAACGGCAGCCGGGACGTTGGAGGTTAGAAGACGAGGCGAGGCGTTCGCTGCTTTGAGCCCGGTCTGCCGTGCGCTGTGCCCTGCCCTGCCCCGCGGCCGGGCAGCCGGGAGGGGCGGAGGCCGCGCGGCGGGACCTTCACCAAGGACACATCTGCCGCTGACAGCCTGTAATTAGGAGGCTGTGGCCTCCGGATGCTGCCTGCTCAGTGGCTTTGCCCTTCCTTGGAGGGCGGCGTGCGGGCGGCGTGCTCACTCCGGGGCTCCCCGTGGGCACCTCCCTGCCTTCCTGCGGCTTGCGCACACCTGGGGTCCAGAGACAGCCGGGGCACAGGGACGCCCTGCGGAGGTGCCGATGGGCACACATCACCCTTGAGGTACCGGGACCCGGGCCGGCTGCAGGAATAGTGCCGTCACCCCTGGGCTCCTCGGAGGTTGGGGTCTGCAGCCCCAGGCCGATCGCTGGGAGGACGTCCTGACGCCCAGGACACGGGCGAGGCTTGGCAGTGGCCCCTGGTGCCAATCCTGGGCCCCAGGCCTGGGGACGGGACGTTGGGAGAGGGCTCCCTGTCCTTGGCCTGCATGGGCGTCCTGGCCTGCCTGCCCACTGGGGACGATGGGGACGGTGGGGCGAGTGCTCCGGAAGAGCCCGGAGAGATCCCAGGGCTGCCTGCTGGCTGGAGGCCTGGCGAGCGTGGCTGAGGAGCGCGGGCCGGCTGACTCCCTGGGGCCCGGCCCTCGGCTCCCCCGGGGGGGTGTCTGCCTCCGGCCATCTGGCTCCCCAACACCAGCAGAGGACAGGCCGCCTCCGGCCCGACCTTCCCGTGGGACACCCGGGAGCTCCTTTCCGCAGGCAGGGAGGCCGGCGGGGTCCTAACAGGTGGCTGCCACGGTCCCCCGGAGGCTGAGTGGTCAGAACCGGACGTCCCTGCGGCCAGCTTGCAGTCCACGGGGGAGCCCAAGGGGGCCGGGCGGGTGCCCTGTCCTCTGACGTGGGGGTGGGTGGGGCTGCAGGAGGCGGGAGCTGCGGGCTCTCACGGTGAATTCTCAGGTCACCGTGTAGCACCGGAGAACACCCAGAGGGGTCTGTCCTTCTGGGCAGACGGAGGGCAGCATGAGCAGAAGCCGGGGGATGTGCTCTCAGAGGGGGCTGCAGACGCCCGTGGGCCCGGGGCGCCCGCGACACTCCCCGTGTGAACACAGCCACGCTTCTCGCTGCTTGTGTTCATTCTGGAAAAGGTCATTTTTCGTGAAGTTTGCGACTTCCGTTAACGTGTAGGGGGCTTGCCGTCCCCTCTGAACGAACGCGTGAATGGGTTTTGGAGAGCGTCTCCCTCGTATCTCGTGGTCACACCCGTGGACCTGAGCCACTGGCGGGAAGGAGTTTTGTGAGGCCGTCTGCTATTAGGGACGTAGAGGGGAGCTTTACGGAAGTGTCCGAGGATGGTCACAGCCGAGAGCGGCGGGTCAGCGTGTGACAGGTGCTAGTAGGTCTGCCCCCGGGCGACGGCGAGGTGGGCGCTGACCCTCTTACTGTTGCGAAGTGCCAGAGTGGCAGTTCTGAGATGACCCTGGGTGGCGAGGTCAGGGTGCAGGCCCTGGTGCGCCCCTTGCGGCTCGGGCCCCAGTGGGTGACTCTTCACAGCAGCCGCCCCACACATCCCGTGGAGGCCAGCCACGAGGACGCAGGTGTGCGCACCTGCCCTTCGGGGGCCGGTGTCGGGGGTGTCTGGCACGATGCACAGGGGCCAGCAGGTGACGGTCTGAGGTGGTGGTCAGGAGGGAAGCAGTGCTGGTCCCCCTGGAAGAGAGAGCTGGCTCCAGGCTGGGGCTGTGTGGGTGTGCCAGCTGGGCCGCAGGGCGGGCAGGGTGGGCCCCTGCGTGGGAACCGGCCTGAGTGCAGGTATAGGGCCGGGTGGGTGCCCCAGGGTGACCCTAACCACAGCCCTGGGGGCTGCTCACCTTCCTGAGGCTGCCCTGGCCTCCGAGGGGTCCCCTGCCTGTCGTGCTGCACACTCTGTGGTCTTTGGCACCTGGTGGTGAAAGTGCAGATGCCCAGGCCCCGGGCGGGTCACTAACCTGGGATTTGTCCTGTCGCCCCCCGCCCCCCAGGAGAACCACTGTCGCCGCATCAAGATCCTCGGCGACTGTTATTACTGTGTGTCCGGCCTCACCCAGCCCAAGACCGACCATGCCCACTGCTGCGTGGAGATGGGCCTGGACATGATCGATACCATCACGTGAGTGCCCCGCGGCGACCGTCCCCGCGGCGACCGCCCCCGCGCTGTCCCGTCCACTGTGCCGAGAGCCAGGCCGCATGCGAGGCGCGTGTGCCTCTGGGACCCCCTCCTCTGCATTTCCCTGGGACGGCATTTCTTCCTCCGTGGCCGTCCCGGGCGTTGTCGGGATGGCGTTAGGGGGGTGGGAAGAAATACACTTTGTCGTGTAGCCAGGCCGGGCATCCAGGGAGTCAGCCGGTTCCGCTTGAAGGAACTGCACGTGCTCGGCCTTGCGCGCCTCGGCGTCCAGGTGCCCCGTGCCGAGGGGCCTTCGAGGGAACAGGTGCGCGTCGCCTGGACACCGCGGGGCCGCCCGTGTCCACTTCTCAGCCAGCCTGTCTCGTCCCGTCAGGCGGCGGGATGAAGAGTTAGGGACCCTCGGTCGGGGTAGGGACGACGGGGGTCGGGAGGCTGCGCTGGTGGCTGGAGCACCCCCGTGCCCACGTCTCAGCAGCTCAGAGGGGTGGGTGCAGCCCCGCAGGACGGGCTTAATTCACAGGGACCGCTGTCAGCATCCACACTCGGAGCTGAGAAGTGGCAGCAGCAGCGTTGTCTAAGGAACAAGAAAGGGGAGAGAGAGAGAGAATGCAAACGAGGAGGCCCAAAGTGTGGACGGGTGTGGAGGTGGGGTGTCCAGGAGCCGGGCAGCGCCCTCGGGGACAGGGTGGGGGCCCTGCGGGCAGTGGGTCCCTGTGCCAGTGGTGGGGGTCTGCGCCCGCGCCAGGGTTGGGGGCGGGAGAGGCCCCGGTGAGGCCAGTGTGCATCCAGACACTGGAGCCTCTGCCCTCGAGGGGGAGCTGCCCTGGGGCAGGCGGGCAGGGCCAGGCAGGAAGCGCAGGTGCGTCTCCCAGAGGGTTCAGAGGCTCCCCCTCCGACGGCGACGGCGTCCTCTCGTGTCCCCGGCCACGTCCCAGCCATCAGAGCGCCGGGCGCCACGTGCCACGAATAGCCTGCGGTTCACATCGCGTCCTTTGTCAGCATGTGACGTACGCCCCGTCGCGCGTCACCCCTCGTGTCACAGCCCGTGCTGTCTTATGTGACGTCGCGTGGGGCTCACGTCCAGCAGCTCTCACGTCGCGGCCACATCAGTGTGGAGCACGGCCTGGGTCACGTCCTGTCTCGTTTTGGGACCTCCTGGGCCAAAGTGAGGTTGTGCAGGGGAGGTGCGGGGAGGCAGGTGTCCACTCCCCCGTCAGCCGGTCAGAGGTGCGTCCCCGGCAGGGCCTGGCCAGGCTGTCGCTGACGGCTCGTGCCGTTGATGTCCCTGAGGGGGGTGACGCCGGCCTCCCCTGCTGGGGCCTCCTGGAGGGACCTGGTGCCCCTGCCACCCCTCGGTCTCCTTGGGTGGAGAGGCGCCCAGAGGCGTGCTTGGGACACCTGGCTGCTCACGCGGGCTCTGGGCCTGCCCTGGTGCGCCCCACCTTCACCGCACTTGGGCGGCCTCGGAGGGATTTCTGTGACCGTCTCCTGGCTGCCCCAACCCGGAGGTCTGCGCCGCCCCTCGGGCGTGGCTGCTGCTGTGCCGTGTGGAGAGGTGGATCGGCCACCTGTCTGCCCCCTGCTCCGTTCACTCGGGGCGGTGGGGGCCCCTTGGCTCTGTCTCCTGTCCGCTGAGGCTGAGCTCCAGGCTCCCGACCCTGTCGGCCCTGAGACCCGGCCTTGGCCTCGGAGGCCGCCCACCCCGGGGCCAGTGGGCATCTTCCTTGGCCTCCAGGGGCTGCCGTCTGCGTCGGCTCCGGATTCCCAGAGGCTTCCACGGCCACCTGGGATTCCGGGGCCCGGTCTCTGTCTCCACAAACTGGGAGCGTGTGCTGGGCGCCGTCCCGGCTGTGGACGGGGGCGAGGGCCACCAGAGCCACAGCTCGGAGCCGGCCTCCTGCCCACGATGAGCCCCTCTTCCCTTCTCCGGGGGCCCCAGCGCAGGGCGCCGCCTGTGTGCGTCCGCCGCATGGTGGGCCTCACGCAGGGCCGGGCTCCTGGGGGGCCACTCCTGGCCTGCTGGTGGCCTCCCTCACCTGCCGCACCGCCCCCGTCTGACACAGAAACGTGCGCAAATGTGTGTATTTGTGTTTAGCCTGGAACTCTGCAAACGCGAAACTTGCCCAAGAAGAAGCGAGGAGCAGTGGCCAGGGCGGGTGTCTGGCCTCTGGCCGGGCTGCGGGCTGCTGTGCGTTGGGCCCGCGGCACCCGGGGAGGACAGCGGCTTCCTTCTGGGCAGGGCCTGTCAGTCTTCTCCCTGGGAGCCCCGAAGGCGCAGCATCCCCGAGGCCCCGCCGCGGCCTGGAGGGCTAGAGGAGCTGTGGGCGACCGGCAGGCAGGTGGTGCTTGCAGACGCCCCTCGCCAGGCCGGAGCGGTCGGCTCCAGCTGGGGGTCCTCAGCGCACGGGGGAGACCCAGAGCCGGGGGCTGGTTTGGGCCGGTTGTGGGATTCTTAGAGCATCTGCTGCAGACCCTGTGTGCGGTTCCAGGGTGCTCAGGGTCGGGGGATGCTGCTCCTTCCACCCCGAGGGTGTTGCCTCTCTGGCAGTACACCCAGGCGGGGTGCAAACGCGAGGGTCCCTGGACTTGTGAGCTCAGGACAGGCGTGTGAGGGGCTGGGGTGTTTGCTGCCCCTGCATGAACACGGTCACGGTGATGGACGGGCTCTCTCAAGGGCAGGTGCGTGCAGGCCCTGGCCGCCAGGGTTCTGAGCTCTCCTGAGGCTGGGGGCGGGGGGGGTGGTTTGGGGAGGACGTGTGTGTTCCTGGTGCAGCGGGTGGGGGCGGTCTTGTGCTCCACTCCATGGCAGGCACGTTCCCGTGGGAGTAACAGGCAGGATCGCTGGCACGCTCTGTGTTCAAGACCGCCCAGGGCACTGATGTGGAAGCGGAGGCCCAGGGCTCCCTCCTTGCGGGGTGGGCGCCGCTCCTGGGGTTGGGGGCTCTCCGGCCGGGCCGGCCCTGGTGCTCTGCTGGGTCCCCATCAGCCGGAGCCTCAGTGCCCCCATCCGCGGCTCCTCTGCCCCGGCCCCTGAGGCCGCAGAGCGTCGGGTCGCACAGCCACCAGCAAGCAGGAGCCGCTGTTGTGCCAGAGACGTTAGCCGGACGCGCTTTGCTTGGCTCTGGTGTTTGGGGTGTTGGGGGTTACGTCTCCGTGAGACCTTCCCTGATGCGCGTTTTACTGAGAAGTGAGTGTCCCGGTAACTGCATCTGTTGGCAGATGTTTGAGGCAGAGCTTTCCAGAGCAGGTGAGGGTGTGTGGGTTGTGGGATTTGGTTGGCGGCCGGCTGGGGTGCTGCCGGCCACACGTGGGTCCCCGCCTCCCCGTCCCTGGGCCCCTTCCTGGCTGCAGAGGCGGAAATGTTAAAAACGCTCCAGTAGACCGCGTCCTGCTTTTCTCATTCAGGTTTCTCTGTCTTCCTTTCTGTTTGCAAATCCAAAACAAAAAAACAAAACAATAAAAAAAAAAAACCCAACCCAAATTTTAACCTCGTTTTGTTTATCTTGGCGCCTCTCACTAGAGGTTGGGAAACGGGTGATAAAGTTAAAATTGAGAGAAAATACGTTCATCACGTATAAAAGTCAATAGGTATCGAGGACACATCCGTTCAGACTCCCAAGTAACCCGTGGTGGCGCGCGGACTTCTGGGCGTGCACCGGGGACCCCGGACCCGACGCGAAACACTGTGGTTCTGGGGGCTGGGCCCTTGGTGGGCACAAGGGGCGGTGACGGGCGCCCGGCCACGGCAGGCTGGGCCAAGGGGGACGCGGTCCTCACGGGCTGGGGGAGGGGGTTCCTGCAAGGGCAACCGGCACCCAGAGGCCCTGGCGATGGGCCCTGGGGGATGGGGGTGAGGGCCTGGGAGGGCGCCCTGGAGGCTGCGTCTCAGCTGGGCCAAGTCGCACTAGGAAGAAGGTGGGCGCACGTGAATCAACCGCAGTCTTGAAGCAGGAGGGAGGTTGGTCTCTGAGCTCACGGGCCACCTGCTCTGCTGGGCGGGTGGGGGTCTGCCCCGGGCTGGGCGCTGGTGGGGTTGGCTCCAGGGTGGCGGCCTGGTGGCCCTGCATGTCTGTGGTTTCCCTTGTGGCCGACTTGCTAACCACGGGGCCACCGTGGCCTGCGCCGTGGCTCGGCCTCCTGGTGTGGTTGGGCTTTGCCGCTCATGCGGAAGGCCCGTTGGACACACCTGCTGTGGGGGCACCTGTGGACAGACCAGGGCGGCAGAGGGGCTGGTCACCTGGCTCAGCGCTCCCTCTGGCACCTGACTGTGGCCGTGCATCCCAGAGCCGGGCGCGGACCCCATGCTCCCGCCTGTCCGGGCTCCCCTCACGGGTGTACACGAGGGCCCAGCTCATGCCCGTGACCTGTTTCTTGCAGGTCAGTGGCCGAGGCCACTGAGGTGGACCTGAACATGCGTGTGGGGCTGCACACCGGCAGGGTCCTCTGCGGGGTCCTCGGCCTGCGCAAGTGGCAGTACGACGTGTGGTCCAACGACGTGACCCTGGCCAACGTCATGGAGGCCGCCGGCCTGCCCGGGTGAGTCGAGGGGAGGCGATGCGCTCCGGGCCGAAGGACTGGGGCAGGTGCTTCTCGGAGCCACCTGGGAGGGGCCCGCGGGGGGCCCCCAGGACCCCCGGCCTCTGCAGGAGCCGCAGTGGACGGAGAGGAGGTCCGAGGCTCGGACCGCCTGGTGCTGTCGCTTCTCTCTGCTCGTCCCCTGCGCTCACCCGAGGAAGGGAGGCCCCGTGGCCTCACTGTCCGGAGGGCACGCCAGCTTCCTCCTGGCACTGCGTGTCCACGTGCCTGGGCTGCCCCTGACACGGGGAGCCTGAGTCCTGGACGCGTCCGCGGGGAGGGCCGCTTGCCGCCGCCTGCAGGCCCTGGGCATGGCGGGGCTGCTGTGTTGCAGGAAGGTCCACATCACGAAGACGACGCTGGCGTGTTTGAACGGTGACTACGAGGTGGAGCCGGGTCACGGGCACGAGAGGAACAGCTTCCTGAAAGCTCACAACATCGAAACGTTCTTCATCGTGCCGTCTCACCGGCGGAAGGTGGGCTCCGGGAGGGGAACGGGGCCCCCACTCGCCTGGTCCTGGGCCTGGGCCAGGCCTTCGGGGTGGACGAGCTCCTGGACCCCCAGGCGGAGCCCGGGGTCCTCTCGGGGGCGGGGCCACCCTGCAACCGCCCCCCCCCCCCACTGACCTTCCTGGGCCTCTACTCCTCTCCAGCATGCCAGGCCAGTGGTGGGGCTGCTGAGGGCTGAGGGAGCCGTGCACACGGGAGAGGCCCGTGACCCGCATAGGGGGCCCTCAAGGGCTGTGTGCCCAAGGAAACGGATTTGGGTGTGATTAAGGGGGCCTAGTTCTTCCCAGGCTCAGGCGAGGGTTTCAGGGCACAGAGGAGGGTCTCAGGGCACAGGCGAGGGGCTGGGGGCACAGGCAGGGGGTGCGGGACACAGGTTGGGGTCGGGGGCACAGGCAGGTGATGCGGGGCACAGGCGGGGGGCGAGGGGCACAGAAGCGGGGAGCAGGGGCACAGAAGGGGAGGCCACGGGGCACAGGTGGGGTCTGGGGGCACAGGACGGTGTCTCAGGGCACAGGCAGGGGTCGTGGGGCACAGGCAAGGGGTGGGGGCGCAGGCGACGGATGGGGGGCACAAACGAGGTGGGGGGCACAGGTGAGGGGCAGGGGGCACAGAAGGGGGGGCCGTGGGTCACAGGCGAGGTCAGGGAGCACAGGTGGGGGTTGCGGGGCACAGGCGGGGGACGCAGGGCTCAGGCGGGGGGCATGGGGCACAGGCAGGGTCTGGGGGCACAGGCGGGGTCGGGGTCACCCGCAGCCCCGGTGCTCCTTCAGGACATAAGCAGGTCGGCTGCGAGACAGAGCTTGAAGCTTCTCCGTCCTGCGTGTCCGTGGTTTGGGGCTGTGCAGGCCCTGTGACCTGGGGCCCATGGCCGAGGGGCTCCCTGAGCTCACTCCTGCAGCAGGGGCAGCCCTCGCGGGCCTGGAGGAGGGCCAGGCGAGGGGTCGCCCAGGACCCCAGCACAGCAGCAGTCACCCAGGCAGTTGGGGCCTGCGGGGCAGGGCCCCGGGGGTCTCTGGGCGCTGGTCCTCGGCCGGCTGCCGCCCCGCCCGCCAGCGACGTCCAGGCCTCCGGGGACCTCCCTGGCCGGGCCCCAAGCCCTGCACTGCTGCAGGCCCAGCTCTGGGGCCTCGCTCTGGGTCCAGAGGCCGCGGGAGGAGCCGAGAGCCGTGTGCGTGGAGCCGGCCCGCCGGTCCCGCTCGCCTGTTTGGCGTCTGTGTCCCCGTGAGGTCGTGCCCGGCCCGGGGGCAGCTCGGGGCCGCTCACGGGCCGCTCACGGGCTGTCCCCGGGCCGCCTCTCTGCACAGATATTCCCCGGGCTCATCCTGTCCGACATCAAGCCAGCCAAGAGGATGAAATTCAAGACCGTGTGCTACCTGCTGGTTCAGCTCATGCACTGCCGGAAGATGTTCAAGGCGGAGATCCCGTTCTCCAACGTCATGACGTGTGAGGATGACGACAAGGTAGGAGGGCCGCCCGCGCCGTCCTTTGTGCTTCCTGACCGTGTGGGTGCCGTCTGGGGCTGGGTGGCTTTCGTTTCCCTGTGAAAATCTTCCTGTCCTCTTGCATTTTTTTTTTTCCATTTGGCATTCCCCGTGCTTCTCGGTAAATTCGTGCTCAGACCCCCGCTGCCGTCTGGAGGTTCACGGTCCTCAGATGCTCTGTCGTGAGGTCTGGAGCCCCGGCCGCCGTCCCACAGACCCGCCCTCGGCCCCCTCCTGTCCGTGGCCTCCTGCCACGCACCTGCTTGCCTCTCCTCCGTGGCTAGATCGTCGAGTCCGCGGAAAGCGGCCTCCCCTGGGGTCCCCGCCTCATGACCTGGCTCCCGGGAGTTTCTGGTTTTCCCCTTGGGTTGGTCAGAGGCATCCTTGGGTTTTCTCCTCTTCTGCTGGGTTGGGGGACGGTGCCGCCCCGTGCGGGTCCCAGCATCTGCTTCAACCACATGGGCCTCCTGTCTGGGGGTGTGGGCGGAGACCCCAGCCCCTCCAGGGGCGACCCCGGTCCTCCGTGGGGGCAGGAAAAGCCTGGCGCGCTGCCCCTTCCCCTCCTTTGTCCTTGCGTCCTGGGCCACCCCAGCCCAGCGTGGCTCCGTCCACGACTGATTCCCGTTTCCCGACACCGTGCCGCCTGTCCCCCGCCGTCCTGGGTTTTGTGCAGTTACGAGGAATTCCATCCCTGTAGTTTTAGGGGCTTTTCAGGAAGAAGCCAGATTCTGCTGACTGGCACTCCCAGGGGTTTATGGCCTCTAAGGGTTTTTGTGGATTTGTCTCTGAGCTCACGTTTGTGAGAATTTTGCTGGGACGTGAATTCCATCGACACTGACCCCCTGCACCCCCCCATACCCGGGGGCTTCACGTGTGTGGCCGGTGGGTTTGGACATCCCAGGTGGGCAGGCATGTGCACGAGTGTTCCTGAGAGCGGGTCCCGTCGGTGCAAAGCCAGGTCTGAGAGCGTGGTCCTCACGTCCCCTCCCACGGGGGCAGGGTCTCCCATGTCGGTGTTTACTGGTGGGGTTTTGGGGGGAAGCTTCCTGCCCGTCTCGCTCAGGCCCTGCGTGGCTGCAGTTAGTGACAGGCTCCGCGAGCTCCCTGGGTGCATCTGCCACCTGCCCGGCCTGGGTTCCCACGTCCTGAGGGCCCCTGGCGGCTTCCCTTTCTTACCACGTCCTTGTGCCTCTGTAAGTGTGCCTGCGTGAGTGTCCACGCGTGTGCATGGCCGTGTGTGCACGAGAACGCATGCCTGTGCACGTGCGCGCCGGCCCTTCCCTCCCTCCCTGTCGTCTGATGTCGCTGCTGGATTCCTGCGCCTCCTGGGAGCACAGTGCCGCGTCCCTGAATCCTGGCCCAGCCCCTGACCCCTGAACCTCTGCAGTGTGGGATGCCTCCCAGGTGGGGCCGTGCGCACCTGCCGACCCTGGTCCTTTGTCTGTTTGCCGGGGACAGCGGGTCCTGGCCTCCCACCTTGGGGGTCGCCCCCGGGGTGGAGACGGGGCAGTGACAAGGCCGGTGGTTCCGAAGGGCGGGGGACAGGCACCGAGGCCGGGCCAGCATGCCAGCTGGGCAGCTGGGGAGGTGGCTGTCGGGTGACCCTGCCGGGCAGGCCCTTCTGCCCACGGGCACTGTCCCCACTGCCCCCCAGGGCCTGTGTCCCTGTTGAGATGGGATCTCTCACTGGCCCTGTGTCCCGTCGTCCATGTGCAGGCCTGAGTCCTGCGCAGGCGCCCTCGTGTGTGGCCAGGGCTGGCTCTCTCAGGTTTTCTGGACGAATGGTTGTAGCTCTGACTTTGGCGCCTCTTTTCCACACTGTGTTATTATTATTATTATTATTACTACTACTACTACTATTACTACTATTTTTATTATTAGGTTTATTTATTTATTCATGAGAAACACAATGAGAGAGACAGAGACACAGGCAGAGGGAGAAGCAGGCTCCATGCAGGAGCCCGATGCAGGACTCAATCCCACGACCCTGGGGTCACTGCCCTGAGCTGAAGGCAGATGCTCAACCGCTGAGCCCCCCAAATGCATGTCACACGTGTGTGTGCTCAGGGCCGCTGTGAGTCAGCGTGGGCGTCGTGCTGTTGGACAAACCCAGCGGTCGTGGGGGCTTGACCAGGAGAGAGGTTAGCTTTCTTACGCTTAAAGTGAACCCAGAGAGCAGGCAGGTGGGGGCCCACGTGGCAGCTTCGCGATCATCTTGAGCCAGACCCGTGACCTGTTCCGGCCGGCCTGCCTGCTGTCATCGCCACGTGGCCCCGCAGGGATGCTGGGGCTCCGGTCATTGCGTCCTCGTTTCAGCCGGCGGGAAGGACGCAGAGCAGGCAAGTCCATGTCGGCCCCCAAGCTGGCTCTCCTGCCCGCACAGCCCTGTTCCCCCCACGTCCCCGCAAGGCCCGGTGGCGAGCAGAGCGGGTCGGGTCACCTCTCCTGCCCGGGGTCAGCCGGCCCAGCCCGGCCTCCCGACTTCCGCAAGGGCCTCTTGCTCCCGGCGGCTCTGCCTCACTTGGGTCTCTGCGTGGACTCAGGTGCTTCCCGCTGGCAGCACGCCGTGCCCCCCCTCGTTGTGGGTCGCAGACTGGGAAGCTGGAGCAGAGAGGTCAGGGGCGCCCTCGGGGCTGCACGGCTGGCCCGCACCCAGGGCTCTGCACCCAGGCCTCGAGCCTGGCCTCTGGCAGGTCAAGAAACAGGCCCAGGCGGCCAGAGTGTGCACCAAAATGGGCACGTTTCCTTGTGACCTTGGCTCTGACTTGTTTTCCGAGGAAACACGATTGTTGTGGAAAGTCCAGGGAAGTACGACAAAGAGGGAAAGCGTGGCCTCGCCGCGGGGCAGGGGAGCGGGGGCGCAGCGGAGGTCCTGCCCTCGAAGGAGCCGTCCCGGGAGGAGCACGGACGCGCTCGCTGCTGGTCGCTGTGGGAGCAACCTGCCCAGCAGGGGTCGTGGGTGACGGCTCTGTCCCATCCCGTCCCACATTCTCGCCGCATTCCGGAGGGGGGCGGTGATGCACCACCCTGGCCGCATGCACGTCCGCGGCGGCGCCACGCAGTGTGCACACTGGGGCCCCCGGCGGGCTCCCCGAGGTCGCAGCTCCCCAGGACGCGTGCACCCGAGCTAGTGACGGGCGCCGCTGGGTGGTGCGTGTGGCTGTGCCCCGGGGCGTCCTGGCGGCCACACTCGGGGCCCGGAACGTTCCCTCACGCCACGATCCCCCTTCTGCTGTGCCACACGCCGCCCCTCCCAGCCCCCGGGCCCCCCCACGGACGGCTCTCCGTGCTGACCTCTGCACTGAGGACATCGTGGACGTGGACCCCGGGATGCGCCCCGTGACCCTGGCTCCTCCTCACTCGGGACGGAGCCCCGGGTCCCCCGTGCCCCCGTGGCCGGCTGGCATTCCGGGGGCGGGCGGGCCACCGTTTGCGGGACCCGTTGAAGGACGTTTAGCTTGTTCCCGACCGTGACTGTTAAAAATAAAACCGCAACATTCGCTCGCGTTCTCTTTCGTGGGGACGTAAATGCTTATTACCGGGGACAGATGCCCAGCTGTGCTGCGGATGGGTCTTGTTTTTGGTTTTTTTTTAAGAAACCGCCAAACTGTTTCCGGAAAGACCGTCCCATACCACGTTCCCGGCAGCCACGTGTGCAAGACGCAGCTTCTCTGCGTCCAGCCAGCTTTGTGCGGTCTCTGCTTTTAGAAAATTTTGGCTGTTCTAACACCTGTTTAGTGACTTGCGTTTATTGGCATCTCCCAGGTGGCCCGTCATGCCAGCCACCTTTTCAAGTGCTTGTTTTCTGTCCATATATTTTCTCTTCTTTGTTGGCAAAATGCCTGTCTGCTTTGTAATTCGAGTGTTTTTTTAATTTTTTTAATTTTTTATTTTTTTGGTACTGTTGACTCTTCAGAGTTCTCGATGAATCCTGGATCTGATTCTACTGTCACACGTGTGGCTTGTCTTTCCGTCACGTTCACAGTGTCTTTCCCAGGACAGAAGTTTCAGATTTCAAAGATGTCCGATTTACTGATATTTTTTTCCTTTCTGGACTGTGTTTCTGGTGTTCTCAGAATTTTTTATGGTGCATTTTGAGTTAATCTTTTATATATACATAGATTTTATCACATTTTAAAATTTAAGTTAGATTTGCCAACATATAGCATAACACCCAGTGCTCATCCCGTCAAGTGCCCCCCTCGGTGCCCGTCACCCATTCACCCCCACCCCCGCCCACCTCCCTTCCTTCCACTCCTTGTTCGTTTCCCAGAGTTAGAGGTCGCTTGTGGTTTGTCTCCCTTTCTGATATTTCCCACACATCTTCTCTCCTTTCCCTTTATTCCCTTTCACTATTATTCATATTCCCCAAATGAATGAGACCATATAATGTTTGTGCTTCTCCGATTGACTTACTTCACTCAGCATAATACCCTCCAGGTCCATCCACGTTGAAGCAAATGGTGGGTATTTGTCGTTTCTAATGGCTGAGGAATATTCCACTGTACACATAAACCACATCTTCTTTATCCATTCATCTGTCGACGGACACCGAGGCTCCTTCCACAGTTTGGCTATTGTGGACATTGCTGCTAGAAACATCGGGGTGCAGGTGTCCCGGCGTTTCATTGCATCTGAATCTTTGGGGTAAATCCCCAACAGTGCAATTGCTGGGTCGTAGGGCAGGTCTATTTTTAACTCTTTGAGGAACCTCCACACAGTTTTCCAGAGTGGCTGCACCAGGTCACATTCCCACCAACAGTGCAAGAGGGTTCCCTTTTCTCCGCATCCTCTCCAACATTTGTGGTTTCCTGCCTTGTTAATGTTCCCCATTCTCACTGGTGTGAGGTGGGATCTCATTGTGGTTTTGATTTGTATTTCCCTGATGGCAAGTGATGCGGAGCATTTTCTCATGTGCATGTTGGCCATGTCTATGTCTTCCTCTGTGAGATTTCTCTTCATGTCTTTTGCCCATTTCAGGATTGGATTGTTTGTTTCTTGGGTGTTGGGTTTGATAAGTTCTTTTTATAACTGTGAGGTTTAGGTCGAGATTTCCTTTTTTTGCACAGGGATGACCAGTTGGTCCAGCCCCCTTTATTGACAAGACTATCCTCTTCCATTGAATTACTTTTGCATTTAGTCAAAAATCATTGACCATACTGGTGTGAGGCTGTTTCTGGACTCTCTATTCTGTAGATCTCTGTGCCTCTCCTGTCACCAGCGCTGTACTGCTCCGACCGGGGTAGCTACACAATCAGTCTTAACCTTGGGTTGAGTGATTTTGAGAAAAACGAGCTATTCTCATCCCCTTCCCTTTCCATTTATAGTTAAGATAAGCCTGTCTATCTATGAAAAAATTCCTGTTAGGATTTTGATAAGAATTACCTTAAACCCATGCACCGCGGGGCACCTGGGTGGCTCATTGGTTGAGCATCTCTCTTCGGCTTAGGCCCTGACCCGGGGTTCTGGGATCGAGTCCCACATTGGGCTCCCTGCATGAAGCCTGCTTGTCCCTCTGCCTGGGTCTCTGCCTCTTTCTCTGTCTCTCATGAATAAGCAAATAATTTTTTTTTTTAAAGAACCTGTGCACATCAATATGAGGAGAATCGACAGCTTTACTGTGTCATGTCTTCTCATCGATGAGCACGTGTGTCCCTCTGTTCACTGAAATCTTTGATTTCTTTCATCAGTATCATATAGTCTTCAGCATACAAGTTGTTTTTTTTTTAAATTTTTATTTATTTATTTATGATAGTCACAGAGAGAGAGAGAGAGAGAGAGAGAGAGAGGCAGAGACACAGGCAGAGGGAGAAGCAGGCTCCATGCACCGGAGCCCGACGTGGGATTCGATCCCGGGTCTCCAGGATCGCGCCCTGGGCCAAAGGCAGGCGCCAAACCGCTGCGCCACCCAGGGATCCCCAGCATACAAGTTGTGTACGTGTTAGATTTGTAGCTAGTACTTCGTTTTTCTCCATGAGTACATATGGCACTGAATTTTAACTTTGGTCTTCACGTGCTGATTATTAGTTTAAGAAATACACGTTTTTTTAGAGAGAGAGAATGAGAGTGCACAAGCAGGGGGAGGAGCAGAGGGAGAAGGAGAAGCTCGAGCAGATTACCTGCTGAGCAGGGGGCCCAATGTGAGGCTTCATCCCAGGACCCCGAGATCATGCCCAGAGCCGAAACCAAGACTCAGACGCCCAACTGACTGAGCCACCCAGGTGCCCCAAGAAATACCTTTTTTATGTTCATCTTGTATCCAGTGACCTTATGGAATTCATTTGTTCTAGAGTTGTTTCCTCCCCTACATAGAATTTTCTGTGTACACCATTGTGGCATCTGCAAAGGGCCAGTTTTCTGATGTTCTTTTTTTTTTTTCTTTTTCTTGCCCTATTGCAATGGCCGGGGTTGCTGAAAGCACTCCATCTTTTACCAGCAAGTACGACGGTAGCTGTCAGTGTTCTGTGGATCTTCATCAAGTTGGAGAACTTCCCCTCCCTCCCTAGTTTTCTGATCTTGCTTATCAAGAATGAGTGTTGAATTTTGTCAGATTCAGCTGTCAAATTTTTCTGTGTCAATTGACACAACCATGGGATTTTTTTTCTGTGGTGTGTTGCATCGATGTGCAGATGTGTAAAAGGATCTGCATCTCTGTTCATGGTCATGGTGCATGCTTCTGTTCTTAGGCTGCCGAATTCTCTTTGCTGTTTTGTTAAGGATTGTAGCATCGGTATTGAAAGAGCTGGCCTGTAGTGTTCCTGTTTCTGTCTTGTCTCGGTCTGACTTTGGCATCAGGATGATTCCGAGTTTATAAAGTGAGTTGGAAGGTGTTACCTTTTCTGTTTTCTGGAAGAGATGATGCAGAATTGGTGTTTATCCTTATTTAAATGTTGAGTAAAATTCTCCAGTGAAGCCACCTGGAGCTGGAGATTCATTTTTCGGGAACTTTACAGTTATGAGTTGAATTTCTTTAGTAAATTACAGGGCTAATCTCATAACCTTTCATGTTAGGTGAGTTCTGGTAGCGTGTGTGTTCCGAGTCGTTCATTGATCTGAGTCGTCAAATTAAGGTGTGTAACTGTTCACAGTATTTCCTTATTACCTTTTTGACGTCAGCATAGTATGGTAGAATTGTTTCATCCCCAGGTTTGTTAGTCTCTCTCTCTTTTTTTCTTTGTCATGCCTGCTGGAGATTTGTCAATTTTATTGATATTTTTTAAGAACCAACTTCTGTTTTCTTGCTCTGTGCTGGGTTCCGCCCGCATCCACACGGAGTGCCACATGAACATCGCATGCCCGTATTTGCAGACGCAGGCGTCTCAGGGCCAATGATGCACTAAGTCACCTGGGATCTCAGGTGGTGGAGGCACGACCGCATCTCGGCCCCGCACCTGCCCCCCAAGACAGCAGGCTGAGGGGAGTGGAAGAGCTTTTTCTTCAATGAGCGGAGGATTTGACATTTATTTTTTTCCCTCCATGGCGGCAGCGGAGGGCATTGAGAACCGCATCGGAGAAACTCAGAAACCGCTCATCGTTCTCTGCGAACGTCGTCTACACCACGCCGGGCACGCGCGTCAACAGGTACATCGGCCGCCTCCTGGAAGCGCGCCAGATGGAGCTGGAGATGGCAGACCTGGACTTCTTCACCCTGAAGTACAAGCAGGCTGAGCGCGAGCGCAAGGTAGGTGGCAGGGGCCCCCCCGGGAGCCACTCCCCCCACCCGTCTCCAGGCGGCGTGGTCCCCGGGTCTCGGGTGCCCCTGCGGGGACCTTGCGTGTGTCCTGGCAGCTGCAGCCACTGATGGGCGGTCTCCGTGTCCCCCAGTACCACCAGCTCCAGGACGAGTATTTCACCAGTGCCGTTGTGCTGGCGCTCATCCTCACCGCCCTGTTCGGCCTCGTCTACCTTCTCATCATCCCGCAGTAAGTGTGACGGGCCTGGCCGTCGGGGCAGGAGGGCGCCGGAGGTCCTTCCTCGTCTGCTCGTTGCCACCGTGGTCCCTGGCACCGGGACCGCACGAGCCACAGCCTGTTGTCCCCTGGTTGCAGTCAGGCCGTCAGGCAGGCCCTGGTGGCACACGTGTGGGACGCTCACGCTCAGGTTCTCGTGTGTCATTTACACAGTTCTAAGACACAAGATATTTTCAGCGCCTTTCCATCCGCCCAACGTGTACCCTTGACTTCAGGACAGATTTCGAGGGACGTTGATTTCTAGGTGCGCGTCATCTTCAGATATGTTAAAGTGAGAAATAGTGGCCTCTGGAAAGGAAGAGAAACGTAGTAATTTGGTAATAATCAGTTACCCAAAGTCAAAGTGAGTTTGGCAGTGTTTGCTTTCAGGAGGAAAGTCCACTTTCCTTCCAGAGGGGCCAGTTTCTTAGACCCCCTGGTGGAGTGGCTCTCCTTTGGTTTCCAGAGTTTCCAGAAAGCACAGGAAGCTGCTCCGTCCCCAGATGCTGTAAACACGGCGACCACCTGATGGCCCCGTGTGGGGATCAAGCTTTTTCTAGAAAATCTGCTCCCAGATGACTTAGCCCAGGAGGGCAGTGCCCAGCGGCAGGTCCTCCATGAAGGAGGACCTCTCCGTGGGCCCCGCTGGTTAGGAGTTGGGGGGAAGACAGAAAGGGACTTGGTGGAGAGGTCGGGGGTTGGAATCGCGGGCACTTGTCAGGCACAGCTTGCTTGGCCCCAGCCCGCAGTGACCCTGCATCTTCTGTTCTAGGAACGTGGTTGTCCTCTTGCTCCTGGTGTTCTGCATCTGCTTCCTGGTGGCCTGCGTCCTGTACCTGCACATCACTCGGGTCCAGGTGCGTGTATGTGCGTATGTCCAGACCTGCCATCGCCTGGGTCCAGGTGCATGTGTGCATGTGTCCTGTACCTACACATCACTCAGGTCCAGATGTGTGTGTGTGTGTGTGTGTGTGTGCGCGCGCGTGTGTGTGTGTGTACTGTACCTGTACATCACCTGGGTCCAGGAGTGTGGGTGCGTGTATCCTGTACCTGCATATCACCTGGATCCAGGTAGTTATGTGTGCATGTGTCCTGTACCTGCATATCACTGAGGTCCAGGAGTGTGTGTGCATGTGTCCTGCGCCTGCACATCACCTGGGTCCAGGTGCTTGTTGTGTGTCTCCCTGACCTGCAATCCACGTGGCCCAGGTGTCTGTGTGCCTGTGTCCTGTACCTGCACATTACCTGGGTCCAGGTGCCTGTTGTACTTCTCCCTGACCTATGATCCATGTGGTCCAGATGTGTGTGCATGTGTGTCCTGTACATCACCTGGGTCCAGCTACTTATGTGTGCATGTGTCCTGTACCCGCACATCGCCTGGTCCAGATACTCATGTATGCGTGTGTCCTATACCTGGACATCACTCAGGTCCAGGAGTGTGTGGCATATGTCCCGTACCTGTGCATGACCTAGATCCAGGTGTATGTGCGTGTGTGTGCCTTACACCCTGCTTGGGACAGGTACACGTGTGTCTTGCATCTGTATATCACCTGGGCAGGTATGTGTATTTGCCTGTGTCCTTTACCTGCGCATCACCTGGGCAGGTACATGTGTGGCCTCTGCTTGTCCTCTTGACAGGACGGGTGGGGCGGTGGAGAGTAGCAGGAGCTCCCTAAGCCCTGTCATGTGCTGGATCCTGCTCGGAGTTCCAGGAGCGCCCCTGGGACACCGGGCAGGTGGTCTGTAGTGATGGGATGAGGGCCGTGGGGTGTTCTGAGTGGAGAGTCCCTCAGGGCAGGGGACCAGCGATCCATCATACGCCTGCGTGGTGGACGGGACACCTGCACCGTGGAGGGTTCTCTGTTGGCTTTGCTGCTGTGAGCTTTGGGGTGGGGGCTGGGCTGGCTCCATGGGTGGCTGTGCTCCTGGGAGAGCCCTCGGTCCCAGCCCCGCCGTGGCCCCCTGTCCGTGACTTCATGCACCCCATTACCCCGCTTCACCCCATGGCCATGTCCTGCCGACTCAGGATTCTCTTTGTGTAATTGTTGGAAACAGCAACTTTTTGAAAAACTAAATTCGCTTTTATCCACTTAACTTCTTTGTTATTCGTAGGTAACTTCTTATTTTTTTTTGATTGAAAAGATGTTATTTATTTAAACCAATTTCCAGTTGTTTGGTCTTCATAGGGTGACACGTGGTTTGGAAACTGCCATTTTCAGCTTTAAATAAGATGGTGTTTTCACGTAGTTTTCGGGGAGAATGTGACAGGTGGAGCTGACTCGATGGCCCGCCACCCCCTCCCGGGGAGCCGGGAGCCGGGTGCTGTGACAGACACATCCCTCCTGGCAGAGGTGGCTCAGCTGAAGTGTGTGGAATTCGGAGTCTTGTGTCCGTTGGTGCTTCTGCGCTAGCTCTGAGTGTCCCCCCCGGGGTGTGGCCCAGAGATGAGATGGTGGGGAGGGGTGGCGGCCAGCAGGTGGGGCCTGGCCTCAGTGGAGGGAGGTACGGGTGGGCGAAGCTGTGCATGTGGGTGAGCCGGGGTCCATGGTAGCAGGGCCTCCGTGGGAAAGCCTGAGTCAGCTGGGCACGGGCTTTCCTCTGGGACAGGGCAGGCGGCCACAGGCAGGGCATCGGGCTGCTGGGCCAGCTCTGTGGCCCCCTGGGACCTCCATCCCAGGCTCCCGCATTGCTGGGGGCTGCTGGCACTGGGGCCTCCGTGCCTCCACGTCCCTGTCTGTGATGCAGGTCGGAATTGAGTTGATACGCACCAGTAGCGGGAGCCTGGCACACAAGGGGAGAAGCTGCAGGACAAAGGGACAGGGTCAGTGGGGCCAGGAGGAGGCCAGGAGGAGGCCAGGAGGTGGGGATGGGGAGGGGGGACCTGCAGTGCCGTGGGCCAGCAGAGAGCGGGCGTGAGGGTGCAGGGTGAGAGCTAGGAGGGGCCTGCGCTGGACCAGGTGGCCACGAGTGCCAGTGGGAGCGGGACAGCCGGCCCTGGGTGGGGGGCGGTGGGGCCAGGGTGGCCACTGGGCAGGAAGGGACTGTCCGCGAGCCTCTCCAGGTTCGGGTACGCTTTGCTGTGAGGGCGCTTGCTGGGGGCTGGGCAGCGCCGTGTTGTGAGCAGAAGGGGTGGACGCTGCCTTGTCCAGCACAGAGGCTTGCACAGGCCCTGCCCCGGCGACAGCTCGTCCTGGGCCGTAAGCTCCAGGCGCCCGTGTAAAGCAGGCTGCGGCGAGCCCAGGGAGGCGGCCACGGAGGCCACGGCTGCCTGTCTCACACACCCTCGGCCACAGGCTCAGGCCCGGGTCACCAGCACCGCGTGCCTAGGTCGGTGCGTGGGGTCCTGGCCACGGCAGCCTCCACGGAGAGGCAGGTGTCCTGTTGTGCTCCGTGGCATCGCTCCTGGTGGCCTTGGCGACGTTCCGCACGTGGTGTGCGTACAGGTGCTCACGGGGTCATTGCTGGAGTTGGCACGGCTGCCTTTCGGGTGGATGGCGTGGCCCGAGGACGTGCAACCACGGACAACCCGCCGGGCCACGTTTGATGGCTGTGCTTCTCGTTCCGGGGGGGTTTCTCCCGGGTTTGGGGCAGATGTGCTGTTTTTTTTTTTTTTTCTGTATTACAACAATTTTCCATGCATGTGTTTGCTCCATGAGTGTATAAGCAAACTGACCGTGAAGATGAGCAGCGACCGGCCTCAAAGCTAGGACAGGCCCCGTGGAGTCCACACGTGGCCAATGGCACGCAGGTGGCGCCCGCATCGGTCTCCGCGACCAGCAGCGTTCACTTTTCAGAAGAGCGTGTCACCCCTTTGCATGTGAGTGAACGCGTGCACAGGCTCAGGAGTTGGGGGCGAGACGGGGGGGGGTCTCAGCACCCGCGCTGGCAGTCCCCGCTCCTGCAGGGCTGTGGGCGTGCTGGCCGGCGGGACCGTGGCTTCGCAGGTAACAGAAGAGCCAGCTCCCGTGGTGGCATCTCCCGCAGAGAGCCCGCGAGCTGCCCTCCCTGCGCCCTGGCGTCTCCAGGCAGCCCCAGGGAACAGCGTGTCCGAGCGCCCCGCCCAGGAGGGTCCCTCCCCAGGACCTGGCCTTCCTCCTCGGCTGGGCTGGGGCCCGTCCCCGGGGGAGTCTGGAAGCTGCGGCCCAGGAGAGCAGAGGACACGAGTAGAAAGCGGTGGGGGGGGGTACGTGTGTCGCGGCGGTGGCTTCCTTGGCGCACTGTTCTGGTCGTGCTCCTTCTGAGTCCCCGTCCGTCCCTCTGGGGTTGGGAGTCACCTATCGGGGCAGCCAGCTGCTCTGGGGGCTCCCGCCCGCCTGCGAGCTCGTGCATGGAGAAGGCCCCCGAGCTGGATGTGTCTGCTGTGGGCTTGTCGCTGGTGGGCCTCGAGGTCCCCAGGGCGGGCAGGGGGCAGGGGAGACGCCTGGCTAGCGGGGGGGGGGGGCGGAGTGGCAGGAGCCCTGGGGCCCTGCGAGTGTGAGTGGATGACTGCCCACGTCTCCGTTCTTGTGCTGTGGGGGTCCTGGCACGGAGCACCCAGCCAGCCAGGGGTCTGTGACCCTGAGCAGGTCGTGCGAGGCCACAGCGCCCCATGGTTCCTGCGGGCCCGCGTCCTAGCCCTGGCGTGCTCTCTGCACCCGGCGAGGCGGTGTGCCCGGCCCTGTGCGCTCCGCTGTGCTCGGTGGCCCCGAGGCCTGGGTCCCAAGACACCGGTCCCTGGATGTCACTGTGCGCTGTGGACTGAGTGTGGGGGAGCCGTCCCCGGGCAGCCGAGGATGTGGAACCGGGCTGCCCACAGTGTGGACGGTGTGACAGGCGCTCAGCGGGCGCCCCGGGTCGGAGGTGACCGAGGCCAGCCCCCGGCGGCTCGCTGGCTCTCTCGTTTCCGCGGAGCGTCGTGTGGCGCTGGCACGTGGGCGGCGGGAGCAGAGCTGTCCTGTGTGAGTGCATCCAGGACTCGTAAGTCCCTGCCCGTCCGTAGGACATCCGGGAGCGGCTAGCGCCCGCCGCGTGTCCCCTTCAGTGAGTAGAGCGCGGAGGGAGGGCCAGACCGGGGGAGCCACGGGGGCAGATTGTGTCCCCCGTTCAGCATCGTCTGGCCGGTTGGCAGCCACATGGAATGGGCGCATCCACCCCCCAGGCCGCCCCCGCCTCTGAGCCCCGCCTGCACACTCCAGGCCGCCTCCCGCTTCAGCCTCCCTGCACTCCGGGCACAGCTTGCTGAGCGTTGGCTGGTGGCCCTCCAGTCACCAGAGGCCCCAGAGGCCAGGCCTGGGCAGTGCCCCCAGGGGCTCCTGATGTCCACAGCGGCAGGAGCCCCCCTCCCCCCCGTGTTTGCTGAGCGAATGCGTGAGCTGCGTGTGCCTTGTCGGCCAGGCGAGAGTCCGTGGGCACATCTCTGTCCCCGGGGGGGGGGGGACACGAGATTGGACAGGGAGGGAGGTGGCCAGCGCCAGGTGTGAGCAGTCGGGGCTGGCGCCGCTGCAGGGGGCTCCTCTCCCCGAGATCTGGGGGCCCAGCGTGTCTGCGCGGTGCGGCAGCGTCAGGCTCAGGAATCCCGAACGGAATCTGGAATCGAGGCTGCGCCGTGGGAGCCCTGTAGGACGCGGAAGGCCAGCTGGTGGGGACAGGAGGGTCGGGACTTCCCCAGGGGAGGGCCGCGGAGGGGCCGGCCCTGGCTGGCTGCGGGGCTCGTCAGCGTCTTGTGCAGGGTCCCTGCGGGCTTTATTTTAGTTTTTGTTTCGAATTGCACGAGCGTGAATCTAAAACGAACTTTGTGCTTTTATCCACGAAGTCACGTGATGACTATTGCAAAAGGTATTTGAGCTGCCTTCCTTCTTTTAAAAATATTTTATTTATTTGAGAGAGAGCAAGAAAGCACAATTTCGGGGACGGGCAGAGGGCGGGGGAGAAGCCGACTCCTTGCCGAGCGGGGAGCCCGACGTGGGACTCGGTCCCAGGACCCTGAGATCATGGCCTGAGCTGACCAGGTTCCCCCAAACAGATTTAAAACAAAATTTCTAGTAACAAAAACAGCGTAAAGCCTACGTGAATAACGTAAAGCCTAAAGTACCTAAAAAAGACACAAGTACGTGTAAATCCTTGTTATTTAATATAATGAATAACAACATATAAACTTAAAAAATGCATAACATAGTAAGGATTTAATGCAATGAAAATGTCAAGTTAATCCGTTCATTCCAGTGCCAGAGGCACAGCGTGGGGCACACGGTGGCAGGAGTGGTTGTTTTTCACTGAAGGACAGTAGTTTTTGTTTCTTTTAATTTTGGCAGCGTCGACCTGGGAGAGGAAGCCTGGGCACAGCTGAGATGCGTGGGGGGGGGCCTGGGTGGGGAGCCAGCGGCACCAGGGCGCGGCCCGTTCTGTGCTGTGACCGTTCCTGCGACCGGAACCAACTCTAAGGAACGCCTGTGTTCACAGTGATGTGTTTTATCGTCCAGTGTTTTCCCGGATGCCTGACCATCCAGATCCGCACCGTCTTGTGTATTTTCATAGTGGTCTTGATCTACTCCGTGGCCCAAGGATGTGTGGTGAGCATGTCCGCAGGCGGCAGGGGGTAGCGGGGGGAGCCCCCAGGTGTGCGGGGCTGAGGGGGGCTGTCTCCGGGTGAAGGGACACCCAGCCCCTCCCCAGTGCGCAGTAGAAGCTGGGGCAGGAGGCAGGGCAGGGGGTGGGGCGCTGAGTACCAGGAGGGAGGCAGGGCCGCAGGGACCGTAGGGGGGCCGGAGAGGGCACGGGCGGTCTGGGGGGGCCAGGGGGTCTCGGGCTTCTCCCAGCCTACACTGGGAGGAGCCTGGAGGGCACAGCAAGGGGGGGCGGGCGGCACCTGGGGGCATCCCCTCCTTCCCACAGGAAGCTGTAGCAGCAGGTGGGCGGTGCAGGTGGGGCTGAGGGCGGCTGGTCCTGAGCCCCGACTCCGTGCCACCCCTGCCCCTGTCTCAACACCCCTGCCTCTCCACCCCTGCTCTTCTGCCCCTGACCCCTCTGCCCCTGCCCCCTCCACTCCTGCCCCTGCTGCCTCCACTCCCCACCATCCCCTCCACACCTGCCTCTTCTTGACCCTATGTCCCCTCTGCCCCTGCCTCCTCCACCCCTGCCTCTTCCACCCCCGCCTCCTCTACCCCACCACCCCACCGCCCCATCCGCCCCTGCTCCCTCTGCTCCTCTGCCCCCACCGCCCCCTCTTCCTCTGTTCCTCCACCCCTGTCTCCTCCACCCCTGCCTCCTCTGCCCCCTCCCCCCCCCGCCCTCCTGCCCCCTCTGCCCCTGCCTCCTCTGGCCCTGCTTTCTCTGCTCCTCCTCTCCCTTCACCCCCGCCCCCACCCGCCCCTCGCCCCCTCCCCCTCCGCCCCTGCCCCCTCCACCCCTCCGCCCCCTCCAGGTGGGCTGTCTGCCCTGGGCCTGGAGCTCCAGCCCCAACAGGACCCTGGTGGTCCTGACGCCCGGCGGCCAGAACACACTGCTGCCCGCTGCGCCCTGCGAGTCTGCGCCCCACGCCCTGCTCTGCGGCCTGGTGGGCACGCTCCCACTGGCCATCTTCCTGCGAGTGTCCTCCCTGCCCAAAATGATCCTGCTCCTCGTGCTCACCGCGTCCTACATCCTGGTCCTGGAGCTCAGCGGCTACACCCGGGCCTCGGGGTAGGTGCGCTGCTGCCGCGGCTTCTCCGTGTGTCCATTTGGGCCCAGGGCCAGCGAGGCCTCGGTTTGGGCGGGAGGTGCTGCAGCCGGCCGGTGGCAGGTGCTGCCGACTGGCCTGCCCCGGGGGCGCGTGCACGGGTCTTGGGCCCTCTGTACTGACAAGGTTTCCCTCCTGACCCCCCCACCCCCCCCAGGGGCGGCGCGGTGTCCGGGCGCAGCTTCGAGCCCATCATGGCCATCCTGCTGTTCTCGTGCACGCTGGCCCTGCACGCCCGGCAGGTGGACGTCAAGCTGCGGCTGGACTACCTCTGGACGGCACAGGCAAGAGGCGCTCCGTGTGCTCCACGGAGGGTGGGGTGCAGCAAAGGAGCCCCTGGGGAGGGGCCGTGCGGGTGGAGGGGCTAGTGCTGGGGCAGGACGGGGACCAGGGGAAGCTGAGCACAGCCGCATGAGCCCCGCCTGACAGGCACAGGAGTGTGGTGGCATCCTGAGCAGTGAGCTCCCCATCCCCAGTGGCCTGGTCCGGGTGACACATAAAACCTTCCAGCTTGGGTGAGGATACAGTGACTAGTTCCCCACCAGGACGGGCTTGGCCGCGGGCCTGGAGCGCAGTAAGTGCTCGGTGCGGCTGGGCGGCCTCCGGACGCCGCCTTGCTCATCTCTAGGGACGCTCCACCTGCAGGAGGCCAGTCTGATACTTCTCTGGTTTTGTTAACCTGGGAATGACAGGTCCCGGCTGAGGATGTCCGGGCAGGATGCGTGTTCGGGACCATGAAGGGTGATCCCGTTCCTCCGGGTAGACAGAGGGGGGAAGACCCGTGTGCGTGGGCCTGTGCGTACCCGAGTGCATAGGGGGTCTGCACACATGTCCGTATGCTGGGGGACAGCGTAGCCTGATCATTCTTTTCTGCGTAACACCGCACTGAGGTTAAAACCACTCTCTTCACGCTTCGTTCCTGTAAAGTATGCGGTTCGGTGGTTTCCAGGGTATTTACAGACTTGGGCCGCCGTCGCCGCGGTCAGGGTTAGAGCATCTTCACGTTCCCAGAGAGCCCTGTCCCCAGCAGTGGTCACTCCCTACGTCTGCCGCCCCATCCCCGTGGATGCGTGCTTCTGCTCATTGCCCATCCCGCGTCTGCTCTGGGGAGCCCACACCCCCGAGTGCTGGGGAGACCCCTGATCTGAGGGGCTCGCTGCCCCGTGCCGTCTTCACCGTACACTTGGATTCTGGGTTCTGGGTGGGCAGAGGCCCTGGAATGCTGAGCCCTCTGGACCCCTGTCCATGCGGCTGGGACGCCCTGGGGGGGGCGGGTGTACAGTGCTGGCCTGAGTCTCCCTGCAGACCGGGGAACGCACCCGATGCTGGCTCTGTCCCTCAAGGGACTTGAGCTGCCACCGTCATCCCACGTGAGGGCCCGACCACAGCCCGGATTGGGTGGGTCAGGGGTAGGACCGTCGGCTCACGTGAGATGGCCCGGTCTAGGGCCACTGCAGGCGCCCCAAGGCAGGCCACCAGACGAGACTCACGGCCTTCAGCCAAGGGACCCGGCCGGCCCTCTGTGACCGTGCCGGGAGGGGCCCAGCCGCGTTCTCCCCGGACCTGCTGATGCTCCGGCCTGGCCAAGCCCGGAGGTGTCAGGTCGGAGCCGATGTCAGACAGACGGCCGCATACGTGGGCTCCCAGAAGGGAGACCGACCGCTGCTGTTTGCCACGGCCTCACCAGGTGACGGAGCACAGCGTCTCTCGTGGGCTGTGCCAGGGGACTCAGGGGACCCTTGTGTGGCTGCGGCTGGCTGTCCAGGGGCACCAGGCTGGCTGGTCCCTAGAGGTGCGCACCCCGCGGTCAGCTGGCCCGTCTGGTTTCAGGTCTTTAGTTGCGATTAGCTACTCAGCTCGAGGAGAGCAGTCAGGGTGCGCTGGAGAGCCGGGTCGGCCTGGCGTGCGCGCATCTGGCTTCCGGCTTGTTCACAGACAGAGGCTGCGGTGCCCCGTCTGGGTTGGCAGGCGCTCTTCTCGGTGTCCCTTTAGATGGTGTAAGCCCAGTGGTTGGGCCTGCCCTGGGGTTCCCCACTGACAACACCCCGGGCCCCCACCTCTCGGTGAGTTTTCCGGGAAGCTCAGTGGCAGGGAGACCCTCCACGTGTCCCTGGGCAGGGGCGCCTACATGCGACGCACTGACATATTTTCCCAAGGACGTGTAACGGGAAAGGCCACTCACCTTCCTGTAAACCCAGCAAAACAAGGACATTTCTCGACTTTGCCCGCTTGCCCTGTGGGTCCGTAAACATCACAGTGTCTCACGCCGTTGTGGAACGGTCGGGCCAGGCCTGGGGGTTAATTATCTACGGACCCCGGGCGGGTGGTCACAGGAGCCTGCGTGCTTGAGCCTCCTCCTCGTCGGTGGCCACCGCAATGCCTGTGTGCCAGAGCCGTGTTTCCTTTGGATTCCCCAGACAATCGGGTGCCGACCTTAGTTTGGGTGATTGTAGGGCAACTTGTTCCTGCACAGGGAATGCCTGTCTCGGGAGGGTGATTCCCGTCGGTGGTGGCGCCGTATTGGCGGCACTCGGAGGGAAGGTGGCCCGGCGTGGGCTTGCCTGTCGTGCGGCAACGGTTTCTGCGCGTTGTTGGATTCGCTTTGCCAAAACGTGGTAAGGGGATTTGCGTCGGCGCTCGTGAATAATGTAGTTCTCTCATTGTCAGTCACTTACTTATTTATTCATTCATTTATTTATTTATTTGTTCATTTATTTATTTATTTATTTTTGTAGATTTATTTTCTATTGGTGTTCAGTTTGCCAACGTATAGGTTGTTCTCTCATTTTCTTTTCTATTTATTTATTTATTTATTTATTTATTTATTTTTGTGGATTTATTTTCTATTGGTGTTCAGTTTGCCAACGTATAGGTTGTTCTCTCGTTTTCTTTTTTCTTATTTATTTATTTATTTATTTATTTATTTATTTATTTATTTTTGTGAATTTATTTTCTATTGGTGTTCAGTTTGCCAGCATATAGGTTGTTCTCTCATTTTCTAGGCCAGACAAGGCTTTGAGGTCAGAGCCAAGCAGGCCTCGCCAGGGGGGGATCTGTTCCTTCCTTTGTGGGTTCCTGGAAGAGTTCGTAGAATTGGTACCATTTCTTCCTCAGACGTTCTGGGAAGTGAAGCCCTTCGGCTTGGATTTGTACGTCTGTCTTTAGAGTAGGAAGGTTTTAACTAAAATGAGCTTCTCTAAAGATAAAGGGCCATAAGGCTTTCCTTTTTTTTTTCTTTTTTGAGGTAGTTTTGGGAATTTATGTCATTGCCTGAACGTTGTTCATTCGATTATCACAAACTTGTTTTTACTATTCCCTTCTTACCCACTTTACCATTTGTAGGATTTGTGGTGACATCCCCTCTCTCCTGATGTAGGATTGTGTAGACTCTTTTTTTTTTTTATCAGTGTGACTAGAAGTTGATACATTTTATTGATCTCAAGAAATAGCTTTTGGTCTTATTGATCTTTCTCTGTTATTTTGAGTTTCCAATGTCATTGAATTCTACTCTGATCTTTATTTTCTTCTGAAAACTTTGGGGTTAACTTACTCATGTTCTCTAGTTTCTCAAGATGATTTGTACTTTCTCTAACTCAGCGGTTTTATTATACATTTTCCTCCAAGTGCTGCTTAATTCACGAATTTTGACATTAAATGTCATTTCATTTTCCTTTGGCTCAAAGATCTTTGTTGCTGTTGTTGTTGTTGTTCTTCTTCTTCTTTCTTCTTTCTTCTTCCCAAGAATTATGAAGACATACATTCTTTTGTTGAAGATTTCCCAGGGATCTTTCTGTTACTGACTTCTCCTTAGTTATACTGTGGTCAGGGATTATGCCTTGAATTCTTTTAGATTTCTTGAGAAAGAGGGGCACGTGGGTGGCTCGGTTAAGCTGCTGAACTGATTCTTGAGAATTCTATCATCCCTGTTCCATTTTGTGGCTGTTGGATGGTGTGGGTTTTTTAAATTTATTTTAATTTTTTAATTTTTAATTTTTTTCGATGGCGTGTTTCATGAATGCCAATGAGGCCACCCTGGCCGAGGATGCTCATAGGTCTTCTATGCCCTAATGGACTTTATGCCCAGATATTCTACCAATTTTTGAGAGAATAATGTTGAAATCTCCCGTTGTACCCGTAGACAGAATTTTGTGCGGTTCTACCAATTTTTCCTTCGTGTATTTTGGCAATTCATTATTAGGTGCATAATAAATGTTTAGGATGAGTCTGTCCTCTTGGTAAGTTGGAACCTTTGTCCCCTTTATCACTATGGAAAGAGCTGCTTTTCCCAGGTAATGTGCTTGGCTCTGCAGTATACTTTACATGATATTATATAGGTAATCCTGCTCCCTTTATATATTTTTTCCATCATTTTACTTTTAACTTATTTATATATTTTTACTTAAGGTGGGTTTCTCATAAGCAGAACACAATTGGACCAACATACAATTGGACCTTGCCTTCTTATCCAACTTATAAATCTCTGCTTTTTAAATTGAGCTGTTCAGAGCATTTATAATTAATATGATTATTGATGCATTGGATTTTAATCTTTTACCTTGCTGTCTCCTATTTGTCATGTCTGCCCATCTGTTCTTTGTGGTTTTTTCCCTCTTTTTCTGCCTGCTTTGGATTAAATGTTTTTGTTATTCTATTAAAATATAAAAGAGTATTTATTATTCCATTTATAATTAGTATTTATTACTTTATTAATAGTAATAATTCATTTGTCTCTCTTGCTCTCCCTCTTCTTTTTCCCTTCCTCTTTTTATTAGCTGCATTCTTTGTTGTATTATTTCTTTTAGGTTTCAAGTTTTTATATAAATTCGATGGTTAAATATAGCTATTATTAGTTTCAAGGGTAGTATTTAGTGATCCATCACTTACACATAATGCTCAGTGCTCATCACAGGTGCCCTCCTTAATACCCACCCACTCCCTCTCTCCCTTCCCCTCAGCAACCCTCAGCGTGTTCTCTGTAGCTAAGAATCTGTTTCCTGGTTTGCGTCCCTCTCTTTTCTCTCCCTGTGTTCATCTGTTTCATTTCTTAAATTCTGTACATGAGTGAAATTATATGGTGTTTGTCTTTCTCTGACTGACTTATTTCACTTAGCATAATACGCTCTAGCTCCAACCAGGATGTTGCAAATGGCAAGATTTCATTCTTTTTGATGGCCAAGTAGTATTCCTTTGTATATATAGACCACATCTTTTTTGTTTTTGTTTTTACACTTGTTTTTATTAAAGTTCGATTTTCCACCATATAGTATAACATCCAGTGGTCGTC